AACATTCCACTACACTTGGTACAATACCTTTTATTTTATTTGTTTGAAAAGGTTTTTTTTTCTCTCTTTGTGTTCATATTGTTTTCCATATCTAAAATCTGCATGCCTTAGTGGGTTAATTTTTAATGCTAATCCTACAGGAATAGATTGAATTACCGAAAGCAGATTGATAGCCTAGAGGCTTAGTTTGTAACTGTTCCACACTATTAGGAGGCATAATTAATCATGAATGCAACTGATCCTAAAGCATTGCTACTTTTTTCGAATTCAGTTACCGGTACGTTACGAATTCAGTTCATTTTAACCTTCTGGTGGTGATTGGGCAGTATTTGGCTACTCCTTTCTGAAGAGTGTACTACATTCTTTTACGTGCACATGATTGGCCATATTGCACACGTGATCAACTGCTTAAGCCGGGCACTCACTGCGCGCCAGACGGTCGTCGGCCGACGCGATTCTATGTCGAACGCAACGCCACGTTGTCGTAGGACGGTCGTCGATCCCGTTGTACGACGCAGTGAGCGCTCGGCTTTAAAAGTCTCATCCTAAAGACGGTCGCTATGAACCACTTGAGCCGCCTGAGCTAAGCTGCTCATATCTTGGTATATCAATCTCACACAAATCTCAAGATAGTATTACCATGGAGGTATGGTATTACAAACCAATTCATTAGCATTTAGGATGAAACAGTAAAAGATTACCAGAAGCTACCTATAGAACAGATAGTACGTAAAAATAAACTCACAAACACTTAATTCTAACAACAACAAAAAAAATGGAATCCAAGATAATGACAATTAATATAATAACCTCTCCTTACTTATTTTGTATTTCTTATATTTTACAGTAGTTCATTTCTTATTCCAGCCAAAATAATATAAGAAATCCTGTGTATTATTACTTACAATGTTATAAATCATAAAACCTATCTCAAATGAATGCATCAGTTATCTAGTGGTACTTAAAACAGGATAATTATTATAATGCTCGCCTTAATCTGCTAATAAAACAATTATAAATTAAAGGAGTGTATGAAAAAATGTAAAGAAACAAAAATTCTATATTAGCCAAAATATTGAATAACGGGAACATACAGATTTTGGAACTATCATTATATATATAACTGAACAATATAGTAAAGTACGCTGATAATTTTCTATATTAATTATTAACATAAGACGGTCGTTAATAACTACAAAAACTTTATAAGTAAAAAGTTAACAATATAAATGTATTATCAGATAATATGCAATGTGATAAGTTTAGAAATATCAATTAAAATTGAGAGGACCAATAACCAATTTGTATGGTACACATAAGCCACTACCTGTAGTATGCCACTTCAATGAAACATCATGGATTACCCTCCTTGTAACTACCATTATGATAAAACAATAAACCGAAAAATATGCGATTTTTAGAGTGGTGTAGCAGCAAAGATGGTCTATAGTTTGGAATCAATATTGTAGTCCCAAAAAGGAACATTGTCTACTGACAACACAAGATTCTGAAGCCTAAGACGGAAATTTGACGAGAAAGAATATTATAACATAAATACTGAGATTATAATACTGTATTCAAATATTTGAGGTTTGAATTAATTAAGGCAGTTTCTTGATAATTTCTGGTTGGATGGTAGAAATACTGAGCACACAAACAAGAGCCTCGTGAAGTTATTGATATTGTATTAAGTAGGGACTTTTAAAACTCGGAAAAAAATATTTTGAATGATTAAGTTTCGAGTTTTCCCTTCTCCGCAACTTTGTTAACATACAACACAAAGAATTATTAAACGGAAAATGATATGAATAATGTGGTTTAATAATTTATTTACTTATTACCTGAATATTTTTTTTTTGTTTTTATTCTGTTTTTTTTTTCCACATCCCCACAAACCATACCTGCTGTTTGTGCCCTATGACAGCATAGAGCCCAAAAATGTAAATTTATATTAAAATCTGTCATAATGAATACTTGATTTGTATTTGACATTAGTCCTACTTACGTTGCCAATGCAGGTACTGCTTACTTTACATATAAAATTACATAGCTTGAAGAAGGTTGTTAACCGAGTATGATTCAATATAATTATTATAGTCACAGATACATTCTATACATAACCGGTATTTGAACTGTAGAGTATAACCACTGGGTTGATCTAATAGTGCTATTACTGACATTTAAATGGTTTTGAAAAAATAACTAAATTTAGTGTAAACAGAACCAGAACAGAAAGTGGTTACTAACATGCAACTATTCCAAGTAGCCATTAGGTATAATATTTAGACGACCACAGGCCTATATTTATCTTTAATTTGTAAAGCGTTTTTAACATACATCGCCTACAAAAGAAACATACTGGTTTCATGTGCTATATATTTTAGCTTAATGACTTTGTATATAAACATGGATGAATTCGATATTATCTTTCTGTTGCAAATACTGTACATTCTGATTGTAAAGAATAATGACTAGCTGATTATTTCGATTTGACTTTATTTTGTAATTGTGTTTATATTTGTGCCTAATAACATTTAGTTTAAAGATTGTTTTATTAGGATTTTCTGTTAAAAAAAAACAGTTACTATAATTCTAAGTAGATATACATTATAAGTTAGTTTATTATTTAAAATTTTAAGGACATCATAACGTATCAAGTATATACTTGCAAGATTTTCTTTTTTTTCTTTTTTTTGCAAGCATTTAGGAACGTACTGAGCATTCAATATAATAGTATACGTATAAGTAGGCACCCGAATCTCTAGCGAGATTTTTTTTTTTTAGCAAAGCAGTTGGAACGTACTGAGAATTCAGTACGGAACAATAGCATGCCAGATAGAGCTAACATCAATCGTATTATTATTCTAGGAAAGAAAATACGCCACCGGATCGTCATTACAGTACCTACTGCTACTTAGGGATCGGATTCATCACTAGCCACCTAGCGCAAGTTCGGTGGTCTAGTGGTTAAGACACCAGGCTTGTTATCTGGAGGTATGGGTTTAACTCCCTCCCGAATCATCACTTGCGAGATTTTTTTTCACAAGCATTTTGGAAACGTACTGAGCATGCATTACAAATAACACGTCAAGTAGGGCAAGCATTAGTATCAAGTATAATTATCAAAATGGTTTTCAGCGTATGAGTGATTAGTATTAATTTGTGGGCCAGTGTGAATCAGTGTTGGTGTAAGGGCGCTTATAAACCAGGTGGTCATTTTTTCTACGTTTAATTGTTTTAGCATCAATATATAAATTATAGTTTCAAAAAGTGATGCGTTTGAAGGTATATAGCAACGTATAGGGAACGAGATGTGTTTGGTTTTTCGACCAACTACCTTACACTGTTCACTGACACTAGCACATTTTAAACGCGCGTGCAACAAATGTCTTATTCCCCTTTGCTCAGACAAATAGGGTAGCGTGAGGCAATGCTGTCACGTCGCGTGATGTGCTGAACGTTTTACTTGAAGTAATTTGATTTTATTTCCATCCCAAAAAAATACATAAAACTTTACATTCAGCTTGGAAAATTTAACACGGGGGTTCAGTGCGAGCGATTACATGCAAACATATATAATCGCATCCTCTCTTTGAAGAGACATTGTTCATCCAGACCAGAGTGGATATAAATAAAGAAAAAGTGAGGTTCAGCAGCTAGGCAATTTTATCTGAAGAGTGTCACACCATGTGTTGTACGAAACTAAGTAGTAATAAAATGTCTAATCAAAGGTACTGCTTAACATCGCTGTTTAATTAATTACTGTCGTTTATTATTATTGCTATTATTATTAATATATGGTTTTAATTTCTATTGTGTTTTTCTTTCTAGTTTGTTCAGAAGTTAAGATGTTGTGTTACGTAATGTATTATTCTGGGTACATAAGGATAACAGTTGATTCCAACCTAATGAGAAATAATTTTCTGATTTTATTTATTTTTTTGTTTATGTAATTCACTAGTGAAATCATTCTCCGAAAGTCAAAAAAAGCAGAATAAATAAATAAATACATAAATAAATAAGATATTTGTCCTGTGTAATTATGACCCACGTTAACATTAAAATAAGTAATACACTCTTCAAAAAAGAACAGATGATGTATCTCGCGGTCCTGATGCTGCCAAATTCACTACTAGAAGGACTCCACTAAAAATAATTCTTCTGACAATCGTAGATTCCCTTTGGTGTGTTATTGTATAAAATCAAACAAAACACTTAAGCCCGTAGATCATTAACGTCAGAGAAGCACATGGAAACAGTGGACTAATGATATACCGTGTGGAACACCATTGACGATGAGAACACCATTAGCATGCATAACCCGCTGTCTTTTCTATCGATGGAATTTAAAACATCGAACTTCAACGATGCCCATTTTATCTCTAGAATGACCAACGGTATCAAACGCCTTTTGAATGTATAAATATTTATAGACATTGCAATTAACATTACCTTTATCGGATTAGTACTTGTACTAGGCCAATATCAATGCTATAGCGTGATAACTGATATACGCCTACTATGTATACTCATAAATTAAGAAGTAATATTTGCCCACATACATTTATAATTTACTTTATTATTCTTATGGCCAATTGCAACTCCATTCCCTTTGATGATTTATATTATATTATTATTTATATTATATATATATATATATATTATATAAATAATAATATAATATAAATCATCAAAGGTACGGTACATATACAGTGTTTAATAAGGACATGATGGAACATCGTAGGCTACCCTGTAGCTTTTCAACGAATAAA